GCAGTCTTAATGAGCAGCACTTCAGCCGCTATTTTAAAGTCGCTCTGTTGTCCAACAGCTCAGCATGCAAATGAGAACAGCTCATTAGGAATTTGACTGCGTGAGTGAGTTTGAGTGTTGACGGAAGCAAGCAGATGTAAACAGCAGCTGAGTTTAGGTTGCACTAAACTGTTGTGTTCACTCTTACAGCCAGCAGCAGTTCAGAGTTAGCAGAAGCAGCTCTAGGAAGTAAATAAACCTGGTGTACTGAGAGACAGCTGCTCTTTCTGAGGCAGTGAGTGGGCAGAAGTAAGTTTGAGCTCGACGACAATTATCTACTTGGGTGTTACCTGGCACCTGAGTCAAATTCTTACTGACTTGAGAGGCTGGAAGGACATCTAGCAGACGTAAACATCCTCATATCTTAACACCTTTACTTTCACCCTTCAAGATTATAAAACCAGCACAATAAAATGCAAACTTAACCTTTGTTTTTTGTCTTTTCAAGTAACAACTAAAAGATTGAAATTCAGTTGTTTAACTATTAATCATTGATGAAACGTTTGGTAAAGCAGTCATCCCGTCCTGCCATAAAAGTCTGACCAAACACAGACATCCATTTCTAACACTCACCTTCTGTGGGTGATGCGCAGCCTTCCTGACTAGCACGTGCTTGTTTAATGGGAGAAAACTCACACAAACATGGACTAAACAACTCCAGACACATTTTTTTTACATGGTCACAACATTCTAACGACCTCGACTTGATTTGATTGGCGAGACGAACGGAAACGATCAAAGAACCTGAAAGCCCGGCCTTCAGCGCTGCCTCTTACCCGCAGAAACGTGACTGCAGTTGTTACTAAGCTGCTGTGAGGGGCGTAAAACAGCTCTCTAGATTTTTTTTGCTGAGCATCAGTTATGCCATTTTATCCACAGCAGGGAAATGACATGTTGACAAGGTGCCAGCGGCTATATTTACCGGCCATGAAACCAGAGCTGACAACAAACTAAGTGACACACGCTGTTGGGTTTGGATTGTTTTACAAAGCAGGTAACGCCGCCGAGTGAGTTTATGGTATTTCTTATGTGAACAAAGGCATCCCACATATAAACAAAGAGTAGTTTCAGCTTGTTGTCAGAGCTCCAACATGACTGCATACCTGTTCCACATGCTATGCAGTCAAACAGTACACTATTCCTCCAGACAGGACTCCAGAACAACATTGTTTTATTGACAGCTCGGACCACTGTTGTACTGTACACGTATACAACACTGAACAGAAAACCTCCTTCAGTAGTACTCAATCTGTCAGCCTGGCCTCGGCTTCATAATCGCAGGGGGGTCCCAGCTAAATGCAAGGTCAACCTATCTTCAGTGGAGTGATGGGAGAAATGGGATTTTGTATATCATTTCTGTGAAGCTCCATTTGGAACCCACACTGTGCAAACCCAACAATCAGACAGGCGGCCATATGGTACCGAGACAGGTGTTAAGGAGAGTGGATGAGAGAGGAGCACACAGTCAACAAGGCTGTTAGCCTTCAGCGGCTTCTGTCTTCCATCAAGTGGAAAGAACTCACCCGTCTAATCAATCTGCCCTCTAAGGATAATGTATTTTCTGTCATGTTTAAATAACACATTTGTACAGCGTGTTTCATGGAATGAATATCTAAAGACAGACAAGATGTTAAAGATTTACAGCAGTACTATTTAATGTTTTATTTGGCCATCAAGGTCTTCCTCCAATCAATGAACAGAAGCTTGGGAGGAAACAAGAAATGAGATCTCTGGTGTTACTATGAAGCTGAACCAATACCAGATGGTGTGACATGAACACAAAGTCACACACCAATCTGTGAACAGTGAAGCCAATGAGTGTGTGTTACCTTTATGCCGTGTTTTCTGCTATTTCTGACCACTGAAAAACAAAAATGCTTGAGTAATAGAAGCCCAATTACCAAAACAAATCTAAAATAATTAAAATAAAATAAAAAGAGTTGATATTTCTATGGAAGACACCTCTTTAGTCGTGCTATTGTGTGTGTTTTGGCTAATCAACTAAATAATCCTTTAATGGTATAAACTTATAAAATGTAAAATGAATATGGTATAACTTTCTGATTGTTCAGCCAGGCCACACTGGATCTTGCGGATCTGATAGGAAAAATAAAACTACTCTTTCCATACAGTCCATTTATATCACAGCCAACTGATGCAGGGCTCTGCTGAACATGACGTCATGGTCCAGCTACAGTTTCAGCCACTTTCTGTTCTGTTTGTCGACGCCTGCTGTGTAATACCTGCTCTGGTTTTACATCAATACTTTACTCTTGCTTTGCAGGACTACGTTTCATTACGTTTTTATAAAATTTGCTTCTTACCACACAAACACACACACACACCCCGGACACACTCATCAATTATGGGTGGAACTGGTGATAAGAAAACAAAAGGAAAATCGTGGTACCTTCACTGCAACTAATGGTGCAGTTATAAAGAGCTATCTGAGAGGGACAGCCCCCTGCTGAAAAATGCTGCCAACCCCCACGATGAAATGGCCAAATAATCATTTCTAATGCATCACTTAATGCTCCCTTCTCAGCGTCTGCGGCCTCAGATCTTCTCCCAGGTTGTGTGTTGACAATTCATTAGGGGTTTTTTGCTAAACTGTGATCGTGGTGATTGGGTAATGAAGTGTGGGGGGGAGGGGAACGCAGCGGGCACAGAGATTACTACCTTGCTTAGATGATGAAATCCTGTCACATCTAAGGATGCATTCAAAGCATCAAACAAAGGAGAAGGGGCTCATGGTTTATGGAAGAACTGGTGGTGAAAAATGCTGTAAAAAATACGGTCCACAAGCTCCGATCACAATTATCTGAATTTTTCTTTCCAGGCAATCCGCTGTATGATTCAAATAAGGTAATCAGCAAACTGACACTAAAACACAACACATCCCAAAACTAAATAAAAAAGGCAAATGGTGCAGCAGGTTAGTTAGCAGCAGCTCCACGTGGCCCAGGTTGATTCAGCTGTCTGCACGTGTTGCTCCCCACAGTCGAGTACGGAGGCATTGTTTTGCCTGGAGCACCAGGGCTTTATTTACAACCTTTAACTAGTATCTGCTAACTGTTCAGACCAGTTAAAGCACTCACAATTAATCATTTCACATGTTTCAAGTGTTGTAATATACTGGACTATTTCATTGATTGTTTGTACATTTCAGAGAAGTATTTTGTTTTTGTTGGATGCAGTAAGAATTGCTCACAAACACTGATCTCAATGTACAGGCTTGTGAGTATCTACCAGTGCCTGAAAATGTCATGGTGGTAATATTGATTTTCAAATGGCTTTAAGTGGATCTTGTGTTCACTAAGAGGACACACAGAGGTGTGACAATTAGCTACGAGGTCTCTGTAGGTCAGCATAATCCCTGCTAACCCCCTTTCTCACTAACCATGTCTCCATAATGTTAGTTATGAGCATTCTGAGGTATTGCATTAGAAAAAGTTAATGTAAACTTAGAAATAAAAAGAAAAATAAAAAAATAAAAAAATCTGATTTCACGCAAAAGAGACATTTTTAGGTGCACTTTAGGTTTTTTTATTTATTTTTTTTATTTTTTTTTTTAAGAGTCAATGTGCTTAATGGGAGATAGAAACACCCTTTTCTTCTGCCGTATCAATTACAATATTTCTGAATCGGTTAAATTATTAACAGCAATAAATCAATTATCCAATAATTCTGACTATACATAATTAAAGCAATAGAATCTCAGCATCTCTAATCGACAGACACACTTGGAAACAGTCGCTGTCTGACAGCACCTTAAACGTGGAGGAAGATTTAGCTAGTTAGCATAGCATGTGACAGATTTATCCTCCCCTTGCTTCCGCTGCCATCTTTAAAGCCATGAACTTGACAAAAGGAGTGTTGGATTAGAGTCACATACTTCACCTTGAAGGCTCCCCTTTTGATCAGTTTACTATTCAAAAAAATCTACTGATCAGCTGCTTCTTTGGTTTTGCTTGTGACATGGAACTAATTAGATAGTGCTGATTGCTCAAAACCAAAAATTCATGACCACAGATGAAGAGAGGCGGCTGTATCAGAGCCAAAAACAGAACATTTTAAAATTAATTTACGAGATGAGGAATCAGGTATAAGCTATGTTTACAGCACATTTGTTTAGCCTATTATATGTTTAGATTGTATATTTTCTAGCCTGTTTTATGTTTAAATTGTATATTTTCCAGCTTATTATGTGTTTATCTGAAATATTTTTCAGTATGTATATTTTTTCAACTGTGTGTTTTCTTTATGAGGGTTTGAGTGACAATAAATTAACTTTGACTTTGACTTTAAAAAAAAGTTGACAATACAGATGATAGAAAAAATGCTAATATCACATACAATAATCAATTCCTAAAATATTACCAACTAAAAACAATCCCTGAAGCTTTGTTTGTTTCTTCTTCTTTTGGCAAATGATTTGTTTTCTTCTTCTTCTCCTTGGTCTGGCACAGCCATGTATCATGTAGGCTACACTGCCACCTTCTGAAGACACGACAGCCTGTGACACTTCAAATTCCCTTGACAATAATATGGAAACGAGACTATTGTTCCAGTTAACTTATCAAGACATATAATGCATGTACATATAATCACTGTAATCCAATATAAAGGCTTGACTCTTACAACATTTATACTTGCACACACAATCCTTTACTTTCAGCTAGTCTGCACTACGTATTTCAAAGAATATGAAGAACCAGTCAACATATTACAGCTTGCAAAGTTCAGATTCACAGAACCACAACAATAATTTGAGTAGTCTCCTATCAAAAAGTTTGTGTTTTTTTTCCCAAAGCCTCGTGACTCTATACGACGCTGTACTGTATGCGTTTCTCTCTAATGTTAGTGGGAGTACAGGATGTCTCTCTGCAGGCCCCAAATATTTTCATGCTGTCAACCATCACGAACGATGCAGGAAAACACAGCAAATGTTCCAGACTCACCTTTCGTATCCCCTCCACTTCATAACCACTGAGGTTGGCGTAAAGCGAGTGGTGCCTCTTCCCTAGCAGTGACGTTGGAGTGATATTAGCAGTGGTTGCGACTGCCTTGTCCAAGAGCCCGTGCTGCTTATTATCCTGCTCCCCCGACCCCCTCAACTCCTGCTGTTGTGGCCCGACAGCTTCCACCTCCTCTCGGCTCTCCATGTCTGCGTGTGCCGGTGCAGGCTCGGGCTGCTCAGGCCGAGTGCACAGGTCATACATCACTCTCTGTCAAAGTCAAACACAGCAGAGGGGATCGATATGACCAACTGAGGTGCCCGGCCAAGTCCAAGCCATCGCATGCTTTTCATTTGCTGGAGGAGAATTACACTGATCAGCTGTTGCGGGTTGATTTCAAAATGATAAAGATGTTACCGTCTTTCTGTCTCCAACAGCTCAAGCAGGAAAAAATTGTGTTTCCACAGCTAAGGTGAAGAGTCCAAAACCAAGCGAAGGACTGCCACTGCCATGGCTGTCAGCAAGCAAACAACAAGCCTTATGATTCTGTAAATCCGTGTAAAGCTGACAAAAAACAACACCGGTGCAGGTTGTCGAGGCTCAGTGAAAAGCAGTTACACATGAACCAGGAGTTGTGAAGTACTTCCCCTCTCTCTGCGCAATGACGTTTTCCAAAATGAGGGCAATCAGCTCCAAAGGGATTTTACATATTTTCGGCCTAGACTTGGGAAGGCAAGTCAACGAGTGTCAGTGCATGATAGCATTCTTGAGCACACTATGATGAGTACCCCTCACAGAGCAGCGTTCAGATCCAGAGTACTGCTCACTACACTGACATAGCCTTTTTCTTCTTGCGTTGCTGCTCAGTCACCTGACGGGGGGTTGATCATACATAGAAAAAGGAAGACACACTTCTTACGCTCCGTAACGTTGAAACAGTCCATGTAGGCCCAACTGAAATAGCAAACAAGACGAGACGTGCAATGGAGGAAAACACCCGAGGACGGTCTACCTAACAGGTCTCCACTCCAGTCCCCGTTCTCTCAGTGAGGCTGAGATGTGGGTGGCATGTTGACTCCTCAGCTGCGAGTCTCTCCTCATTGATGCCGCTGTGTGAAAAAGCATTTCTTCCAGATGCAACGAGACTCGACAGGGCTGCTTAATCCCATCTCGGTTGCAGCGCCATAAAGGTGAAGAAAGAGGACGAAGGGAAAAATGTGTGTAAGACGGCGAGTGTCGCTGAGAGGAGGGGGGCAGGGAGGACCGCTTCCCTCGTCCTATCACAAAAAGGCTGGCTTTGAGACGGGGCCCAATCATTACAGGGACTAGTGCTCGTTTCCATGGAGATGACGCTGGAATGATGTTGGCTGCCTATTGATTGTTCAAGAGGCAGTAGACACTGCAACAGAGGGAGGCTGCAGGAGGCAGGCAGAGGAACAAGTGTGTCCTGTCCACACTTAGTACAATGTTTTACTGCAGTTGTGCACTTGAGAACTGAATAGGATCTCTAACCAGATACCTATATTTAAGCCATTTTGCCTCGGACTTGGATATTAAAATAACATTTATGGCAGCAGGTCTGATGTTGAAAAAAATCAGTGCTACAACTCAGCACCACTTGTACTTATCATTTAGCCTTGTCTACTTTAGGAGGTCCTATCAGGTACTACAGCTAACTACATTAGAATGAGCAAGGTGCCTTAACAAATCCTCATAACAGGCAACAACCTGAAAGCATACCAGGGGAATTTTTTTTTGTTATTTGAAAATGCATCTTTTTGAATCATCCCTCAACCTTGACAAACTGTTGGTTGCTTGAAAGAACAAAGGCTCACAGTTTTTCACATCTCTGTGCAAGTTGCTTATTTTAACACATGTGCAAAGATAACACCATATTAAAGTTACAGCGTCTGTCATTAAGCGATGCTGCTATTCTATATAGCTTGAATTAGGGATGTCAATGATTATCAGTTAATCGATTAAGTGCTGTTCATAATTGAACCCATTAAAAATCTATTAACCTCTAAAGTAGTAGAAGGACATGCGTGTCATAAAATGTATAGTACATTAGCTACACTACCTGGTTACGTCCCTGTAGAGCCTCTTCCTGTTTAATACTGTTGTGACCTGAGGAGGCGGTTGCTAGAACTAGTTCTGTGTTGGCAAGCATTGTGGGAGTTTAGCAAATAAAGAGCCACCATGAGTAAGTCCTCTGTGGCATTTAATGCTTACTGACCAGAGCTCTATTTTAATTGCCAAACTAACACGCACTAAGATAGCGTCACTGTGGACTAGTGGCTGATGATCTACAACATTGGAGCATCCGTGACAAAAGCAGTGGAGAAGCATGTGATCCAAAGCAGCTGTGTCAGGACAGAAAATGATGCCCACTGAGTTCATTTCATGTTAATTATATGAGTTAATTAACATTCACTGGCTTCCAGTTGGGCTGCAAGGTGGTGCAGTTGGTAGCACTGTTGCCTCGCAGCAAGAAGGTC